TGCAGGCACTTGTGTAGTTAATTGCAGTATCAAGTGTTGATGTTTTCGAGTTTTGCATAGCTCTGATTTTGTGTTAGTGCAGCATAGACGATAGAAAGAAAATCAAGAATTAGGTAGTTTTATATATAAACTTTTTATTGCTATATGAATTGTAAAACATTGAAATTCGTTTAAAATAAAATATTTATTTACAAAATACATTTATAACATTTATAATTTGCATATTCACTCTCTATCTAAGCTATCTCTCTATCTAACCTATCTCTCTACTCTCCCTCTCTCCCTCTCGCGCGCGCTCTCCCAGACTCATACACACTTTCACGCGCTCTCTCACTCTCGCTCGCTCTCTCTCTCATGCGCACTATCTCTCCCTCGTGTCGCTCACACTCCTCCTAAGCTAAGCTAAGCTAACCTATGCTTGCCTAATGCAATCTCTCCCCCTATCCTAACTCCCCCCTCCCCCCTACCCCTCCCCACCTTTGCCGGACCTCTTCCCCCTCCCCCTATTCCGCCCTTCCCCTCCCCTGTGCCCACTCCACCCCTCCCCTCCCTCTTCACTACCCCTCTTTTACTCACACGGTCATTCTCGCTGTCACTCTCGCAGTCACTCTTCAATCGTCCCTCTGAAAAACCTACAACAACCTACAAAATTTATTTTTCTCGCAACATACATTTGCAAATACAGTACACAATAAAATGAACATGAAACGAATCAATTTGCTGCAAATTACAACTTTGAAACTGTACAATTTACGTGACGTTATTTTTGCTGCAAATTACGTACTTATGACGAAATAGAGTTGAATTTGAAGCGAGTGAATTGGCTTTAACGTTAATAAATTAGGTTAAATGGTAGTAAGTTAAGGTATATTTGGATCAACGATTAAATGAAAACGGTACTAACTGCCACGATCACCGCTATGAGCAACAAATTTCTTATCCTTGTCATTAAAAATGCTAGTCGAATACGTCGAACATTGAACTGCTGACGTCTAAATACAAACTCGATAAAAAACTACTCTCGATTCAATTAACAACACACAGATACATTACAAGCCAGTTTCACGATAACGTAGTGCATCGTTGCAACAACAGTCTTGGCTTCAAAGATTTCATGCACTCACGCCTTCCGTCAGCTTGATGATGTGTCTACGTCTGCACAAATGTCCTTTTACACGAATTGGTGGCTCATTGCGGGTGTGTGCTGATCCGTGGGTGTGGCAGTGTTACGCAGCTTCTCAACAGAAGTGAGTTCCTTCTGTTTCCTTGTCCTGGATCCTGGTTCGTTGTTCCGGTTTGTTGTTCCGGTTCCTTCCTGGTTCCTTGTTCTGTAACAACAGTAAAGACAAAATTGCAATGAATAAGTGTGAGATTATTAATGCATAAGTATAGGTGATTACATTAATGAGCAACCCATTAGGAGGCATTATAACGGATAATTTCAGTCAACACATTTATGGATATTTCATATTTAATTTACATTTCTTATGTTCGATTCCAAATATAACAGTTCAGACAGACCAAATTAATTTGATAAAACCATTTTGATGAACAACAAAAAACTCCTCTTTCCTTTCTCTCTCTTTCTCGACGCATGCACGCACGCACGCACGCACGCACTCACGCACACACACGCACGCACACATGCATGAACCCATGCACACATATACGTGTACATCCCCCATCCCTCACTATCTCTCATACTTTCTCACTACATGCTGCCATCCTGCACAACATGCCCACAAGACACGCCCTTCCCTAATGCCTCTATTCCACACAGACCACGAATCCTACAAATCGCCACGAATTGATTAACTTTAGGATTCGCGAGGATTTGTGGAATTTTGCAAATTTCTTGTCCAAATCGTGACGCTCTACGATAGAGTTATGATACAGGTACGATAGAGTTACGAATATTCGTGGGATTCGGCTCGAATCGCTCAAATATTGTCAAGAATTCACTACGATTTACAAGAATCGATTACGAATACTGCACGAACGTTAGGAATCAGTTACGAATCAGTTAAGAATATGCCGAATCGAATGCATCTACGAATCAGGTACGATTAAAATTGAATTCGTGACTATTCTTGACAATTCGTGGGATTTTCCCTCAAGATAGGTACAGCCCTCAACCCCTGCTTGAAATTTTGGACCTTTGGGCGTGTGATCAAGGCATCAGTTCCAAAATGGATGTTAAACGTACGCAGAGCAGCTGTAGTACTGGCCCTGGAACTGGAGTATCAACACCAGCTGCTGAAAGCTAGAAGAAGACTGCTTCGAAGAAGAAGGAGAAGAGCCCCCAGGTGGTGGGTTAGACCGTGGCTGACACCAGCTAGAAGGCTAGAATATGGTCACTACAACAGACTGATACAGGAGCTGAGGGTGGAAGATGAGAATGCCTTTGCCAACTATGTAAGAATGCCACCCCACATGTTTGATGAGCTACTCAACAGAATTAGCCCAGTAATCCAGAGGAGGGACACCCCCGAATGAGTTAAAAATACCTACGAATGCCTACGAATCTATTACGATCTATTACGAATCAGTTACGATGCCTAAGAATGCACTACGAATTTGTTACGAATTAACTACGATTTTTTGGAATCGAGAGTTCGTGGCCAAAATTTTGAACAGCTCAAAACTTTTGCCACAAATTCCCGATCGCTCAAGAATTGAAAGAACTGACTACGAATAAATACGAATCAGTTAAGAACTTCACGAACTGATTACGATTCAACTACAAATCCTAAAATTTCAGTCAATTCGTAGCGAATCGTTGGATTCGTGGTCTGTGTGGAATAGAGGCATAAGACACGGACAGGAACTACTCACTTTGTATTGCTGGTCCAAATGATAAGCATGCATGGTGTTTGAATGGAGGAAAAGACATCTTGCTCCAGCCTCATGACTAAACACACTGGCACTAATTATCCCTCCTCTTATCCAATTATCTGAAAACAGATACGGTCAAAGTGACAGAACATGTAGAGAGTTGGTAGAAATTGGTGAAAAAATTTGGTTCTGCCAATAGATAACGTCTTACATTGATCACTGAATTTGATACAAACACGTTTATATTATAGATTGCAATTCACTGAATTAGTTCTGCTTGTGCTGTAATAACTAAGAAACAAGTCTTCTCCATCTTCTTGGAGTAGAGTTGGTTGAAATTGGTGGAAAAATTTGGTGGAAAAATTTGGTTCTGCCAATAGATAACGTCTTACATTGATCACTGAATTTAATACAAACACGTTTATATTATAGATTGCAATTCACTGAATTAGTTCTGCTTGTGCTGTAATAACTAAGAAACAAGTCTTCTCCATCTTCTTGGGTCACTAGCAGATATTTAGTTGGAGAAAGGCTGGTGTTATTTACCTTCTTCGATGCATGGATTATCCTTGCATGGCACTCCTTTAGCTATGTTTGTTCTTCCCTTTGTTCTTCAATGCTGTGTTCAGTCACTTGCACATCTCCACTACATTAGACATCTTCACCGTAACCCTCGCACGGGAGGCTAAACAGGTGCTATGCCTTGCCCAAGGACACCCTGTAGCTAAGGGTGGCAGAGGAAGCTTATCTCCTCACTAGTGACTTATGAAGTCACTCCCTTCTCCAATCACTTGGCCGCTGGTCTTCCCAGGTGGTTCTTGCACGGCGATGACACCGTTTCCATAAGTAGTTGGTGTCGGTGGTAGTGGAGTTGGTGATGAAATTAGCAGCGCATCACTGGATCATCTCTTTGCTGTTAGTCTTTGTTGATGGATCGCAGATGGAGGGAAGCATACATTCAATGGTTGGTAAAACTTATAGCTTGGATGGAAGAGGAAGCTCACCTTCTCACTGTGGACTTATGAAAGTCTTTCCTCTTCCATAAGATATATACATGTGCTGTAATTGTCTGCATATATATCATGGACTCAGGCATCAACTTGGTCGGGTAGTCTTCGTCTGAGGGCCAGCAAGGTTGATGTGACGGCGAGTCATGAGGTTGCATGCAACTGGTATTAGAACCGAGCAATACTCTTGATTCTTCTTGACTTACGATGAAATTCTGCCCGGTGAGGTTCCCACTCAAAAGCTGACGTTCCGGATGGGTCCAAGGTGACATTTCGAGCCATGCAGTGAGCCGATAGATAGATCTGCCTCCATATAATGTAAGCTGAACAATGGTGTGCATTGTCTTCCGACGAGTGTAGATGCTATAGTCGTATTAATGTCTCGTAGGCGCCAAAGTCCCCGGCGAGCGAAACTCGAACTAAACCGCGCAACCGCATTTTCCGCGCGGTTAACAACATATAGACACAAACACCTAAGTACATTGTTGCCACATTATGGGTGAGGAGAGCCCTGCGCGCGCCCGGCCGGCCGCAACACGCGTACGTTTGCGTGTGCGGGCGGGAACAGCCCGCCCTCGATCGACGACGTCATTCAACCTACGCGATTGTGCCAGGGTAAACCTGCGAGCCGGACACCCCAACCCTAACTCCCACGCTCGTGGGAGGGGGGA